TATAAATATGTATTTTTGTTGTATATCATACACTATACAAGGTGTATACGTGTTTTATCATGCATGGCAGAGGCTAAAGTTGGTTTAGGTCAAACTGGAATATCTCCAGGAGGTTAAATGTTTGGCTCTCAACATGACCAAGAATAACGTGAGTATTTCCTTCGGTTTGATGTGGTTGATGTGTGATTTGTTTGTGATGAGTACATGCATGAATGTACATCAATATACTGTCGTGCCGAGAACAAACGATTTTTGCGGGATGTCTATTTTTAACCAATTCTTGTTGTTTAACATCAACATCGTTTTGATATATATTTTTTTCACGAGATATTTATACGTTTGCAGGGTATCTTAGGTTTGATCGTGTCAAAAAGGTCCCTTTTCTTTGCCCTTCCTGCAGCTGTTTGGCACAGCCGGACATGATTCGCAAAGCTGTGCCGGGTGCTTAGGCGCGGTGGGGCCGCAGGGCATTAGCTATAAAAGTTGGTTGAACATTTACTAATGGGGTAAACAAATAATAAACCACCCATTTGGGAATGGTTTATACCACCTATTTATTGTGATTTGGGGGATGGTTTATTGTTTTACTCACATTAGCTTAACTGTTGGATTTATGACATTTATGATCTCTGGAACTAGTTCGATGGGTGAAACCAAACAGCTGCGTTTGTGATGTCTTGTCGACATCTTTTCTGAATGAAAGAAGGCTTAGTTCATCCCTAGCATCCCTTTCCCTCAGCACCCGGGCCCTGTTCTTGGGGTCCATAGTGTCGGATGGAATCAGCCAAGGTTTGTCTTGTTTGGTTTGCACCAAGCGACGAACTTTATTGGTTTCAGCGCCAGCCACTTGCCATGGACACCGGGGTGGTGGTCGTGGGAGGTGAAGTGCATGGCCGGTTGATGTTTCTGAAGAGATCCTATGCGTCGCTGAACGCATAGGGAATTTAACCAACAATCATTTTATGGGGATATACTGGGATATATACCCGGCAATATGTGGTATTTGGATGTGTCCAACAATGGGAAAGTCTCCCGCATACCGCCCGGATATAGCCTAACTTTAATAGGGAAATGATGATTAACCAGAGGATGGAATGGGGTAGCCTATTTTCAGTCGAAACCAGTAAGATGTGTCATGGGGATTTGACTACGCAAATCCACAATCAGGGGTATGGGGGTCCCAATAGAAACGGCCCATGAAAGATTTTTTCCATTCAGTCATTCCAGATGGCATCATTCCAAAGCAACTCTTCAAACTGTTTATGAATAGATTGAAATAGTTTCTCCTCTGTGGATTAATTTTTATGCGACATCAACCAAAACATATGTTTACCAGAGGCACTATTTCGGTCACATTCTGGCGACAATTTCGATACAGGTGTTGCCCCTGTTAGCTTTGTCTGTTTCAATTGGGTGCCCCATTCCATCCATTGGTGAATCAAATCCCCCATACCCAACAGACCCAACGGCTTGACCTACAGCACTGTTAGATATGACCTGAACATAGATGTGGTGATATTTAAAAAGTTCGGGACAGCCTTTTGGGGGTGGTTTCCGCAGTGGAAATCGTCGGCCTTTGGGTTTTAATTTTCGAGATGCAATTGCTCTCTCTCTCTCTCATTCTCTCCATATTATATTCATAATTATGTTATATATTATATATAAATATATATAGACGCCTTATTTATATATGTGTATGTTATAAGTTATAATCTATTTGTACTATATATATATATATAGAGTCGCCGCCTTCTCTCGCACCTCAATGCCTCACTGGGTTGCATATCTCCTGCCGCCAGTGACGGATGGCGAAGTCATTGCCAGGGCCACCACCAGAAAGGTGGCCGCGGGGCATGTGGATGGCCGTAGTGGAACTGGGGATATCAGGGAACCACTGGGGATTTTGAGTGGAGATAAAATGGGTCATGTAATGGTAGTATAATTGGAACATAGTGGGAATATATATATATATACAATATAGTGGATTATAATGGTAAAATGGGGAGTTTTTTTTTTCCAGGAAAAGCTGCGAACTACGTTCCTGCTATCGCTCGATTTTTCCGAGATTTCCAATGCATCCAGGAATGATCTCCAGCTTCTGTCTGGTGGGATCACGTTCAAATTCGACCAAAACCTCTCAGCTACATCTAACCCCCGATTTTTTCTGGTTGAATCCGATGTTTCCCTACGTTTCTTTTTGAAATCCAAATGTTTCCGTATTTTTTTCATGGTTAGAGCCACATGTTACCCTATTTTGCATGGTTCATGTCAACTTTCACCGTTTTTGTCACTGTTAGAATCCACATTTTGCCAGAAAAATCTTAGTGAAATCCACCATTTTCCAAGTTTTTTTGCCCCTTCCCGTTCTGCCTCCGTGGCCCCGGTCGCAGATCAGTAGGGCCATGGCGCCCACGGTGCGGCTGACGTACTTCGCGGGCTACGGTCTGGCGGAGCAGATCCGCTGGATGCTGGCGGCCACCGAGACCTCCTTTGAGCAGGTGCCGGCCAGTTTTTGGGTCGCCCGATTGGTGGATGATGGGTGGAAGCTATAGAATGCTATAGAATGCTATAGATATCTAATTAATGATCTATAGATATGTATACCTCTGGTTATGTCAAAATAGCTATTGAAAATGGCCATTTATAGTGTATTTTCCCATAAAAAAGGGTGATTTTCCATAGCTATGTTAGTTTACCAGAGGGTAGTCGCCCGATTCGTGGATGGTGGGTGGAATCTCAGTTGCTATAGAATGCTATAGATATCTAATTAATGATCTATAGATATGCTATGAAAACATGGATAAACATTTGGGAGATCTGATTTTATCATTGATCTAAATCTTGATAATGATAATCTGAATCTACCTTAATGATCTTAATGATCTTAATATGTATGATATGCATATTAAGATAAAATCAGTATTGGATGTAGCAATTCTCATCCGGAGTTGATTTTTGATTTTGGTGGATCAACGACATGGGTCAGTTGACCAAATTTGAGTTTGTCCGAAAGTATGAGATTCCCCTACGTATGGCCATTCTGATGGCCAGAAAATGGCGGGGGGGATATTCGGATATTCTCAGACAAACCCACATTTGAATGGGTTTTGTGTGTGCAGATGGGTTCGATCAAATCCCACTAATCACCATTGAATCCC